ACTGAGGGTTGCGATCCCGTTACCGGTCACGAAAAAAGACAAAAAGGAAAAAAAAAATGGACTTAAGAACATCCTTTTGGAACCGAATCTGTTCATAGTTGGAGGAATTTCCATATTGAGTTATTAACAAATTTGTTATGATCTTTTGCTAATCAAGTTTGAGTAAATACTATGAAGCAAAGAAAAACCAACAGCTCTTTGACATGCTTTGTTAAATATGTCATAAACAAAAAAGAATAGGGCTTATATGCTTTGACAGTATGCCTTTATGCAAGAGGCAGCTTTTAGTACCTTTATTTTATTCTACTACAACAAAATATCTCGTACACATTTTTATTACCACTAAAACATGCTTTCCCAGAGTCCATTGTTTATGCTTTAGTCAGAAACCTGAAAGATTCACTGAAACTTTCTTTTAAGCTTCCAATTATTTTAGGTATATTTCATCTTGTTGTTAATAAATATTTAAGTGTTGATTTACTTGCACAATACTTTTGCATATATTATACTTGACAAGCTTTTTTGGTATAACTGTATATGTATTTCTTTGTCAAAATGATAAAGCTGCTTTCTGAGGGGCTAGACCCTACAGGGTCAAATCTGTGGAAATCTGGACAGTTGTTGAACACACCTGACAATGTGTGTTCGAATAATCTTTTCTAGCTTTAGAGAATGTTCATTGCAAATGAAAAACAAAACAGTTAATAACCCTTTAGTGAATGGTAAAGCACAGTACATGGAACCACTTCTGATGTTATGATTTTATATCACCTTAGGACATGCTGAAGCTAATGTTAAATTAAAGTGTTCTGCTTCGTCTAAAAAGAGTTCATATTGAAATAATATTGCAGTTGTTTTTTATGTGTCTTTCTACAATTTACATCTTTGAAAATATATTAATTTTGTTTTCAAATTTTGTAGTTGTAGAGGATAAAATTTAGGCTTCAAATAAAACAACATATATGCATACTACTAGGTCATTTCATTTCATTTACATAATTAAGCCAACAGATTATACTTTCTCTCATTAAAGGGCTGATCCTTTCTTTCAGGCCATTTCACATAACCGATTAGGAAGTCTCTATTGATATATTGATAGTTGCAGAAAACTTATTGGCTTTTGATTGTAATTCAGCCAACTCAATTATTGTTAAGATCAGGAGGAAGTCTTTATCTCTTCAAAAGCAATGGTAATATATAAGATATACAAATATGCAAAGATCCACAGTATTTAGAATCTCATTAAATTACTAGTTAAGCTCTACTTTTTTGTAAATCAATTCCTTTGTAAGTTATTTTAGCCACAGTAGCATAGTAGAAAATCTGATTAAAAAAAAAAAAAACACGGTAAAGAGGAAAAAAAACCTTGCTTGTTTTTCCAAATAGTGGATAAGGGTATTCAAATTAGTTCAGCATTAACTTCCAAAATGAGTTAAATTTTCCCTTTGCTAACTTGGTTGCCCAAACTCATGACACAGATGAAAAGTGGGCAAAGCAAGGAGGAGCCCAATATCTGGATTCTACCCCCCTAAATAACTGAGAGTGACTGCAATTACTTACAGGTTCTGGGTCAAATCCTATCTGTCCAGTTAACTCTGCTACCTCCTTTTCATGGTAATCGTCCAGTTCAAGGGGGTTCATGGGCCCCAGACCTTAATAGAAACATTGTCTTATTATTCTGTTAGAGTAAATGAAAAACTGCACTCAAATTACCTTTTCCCTTCGTAATATAATTGGAACCAATAAAGTGAAAACCAGCCCTACCTCCCAGCTACCCATTAAGAGAAAGTTACCACCCACCTTAATTTCTATTACTATGTAAATTAAGAAACAGAGAAAAATATTAGAAGATGAAAGCTTGTAACAGCATTTGTCAAATATTTTAATTTTGTTCTGATTTTTACTTGTATTAAAGTGAACTCATACCTGTAAAATCATTAGTGTAGGAAGTGATCCAATGAGACCTCTCAAGATTTCTTTGTATGTTGGCTTCTTTTGCAGAGTTAATAGAGGCCCATGAATTTAAAGAAGTGTTAGGTGCGAAGGTTTTAGGAGGTTTTGGGTAGAATATTGGCTTATTTTTCTCAACACATTTAGGAAACTAGAATATGAACATAAAGATTGCTATTAATGTCATCTAGTAGAGTAAGCTGATTCACTATCTCAGCAGGAAAGGAGGAGGAAAGGAAATTCTAGGGGGAAGTCAGATACTATTTTTTTTCTTCATCAATTACTAATAATCTGTGACTGTAACCATATTTAAACATAGTATTTTATCAAATAAATGGTAAGGTCTTTTCTAAAAGGCTTTTGTATTAGCAGGGACTATTTTAACTTATATTGGAGAAATGTCCCTGGATACTCTACCTCCAGTGACATTTTATTAGAGATACAAAGGGCTTCCAGGTTCTCTTTTGAGTAAATTTAGCCAAAATTATGTGCCTCCTACTTTTCTTTTCCTGCCTGAAATGGAAACCATTTGATGTCTTTTATGAATTTCGATGAAGTCACTCAAATTCAAATAAAATTTTCATTCTTCAGACATAACTATGGAGTTTTATTTTGTATTTTCAAAAGAGGTATGCATGTAAACATGAATGAATGGATGAGTTTCATTGCAGTCTTTTTGGTTACTTAGAAATTCACTTTTTCTCAGATTGAGGATACTCAATATGTATTTACCAAGCACCTATATGTGCATTGTAGTGGCAGGAAACAAGGATGGATCAGGAACAAATCCTGTCATCCAGGGGCATATTGGCTAGCAGGAGAGATAAGGTGTGAACACAAATGACTATAAGATGAAACGTCACTCTTTGTTATAAAATGATTTGGAAGTTGATTCCAGCTGAATGGGGAGTAGGGCTGAAAGGGGGGAGAGGGGGGAGGGACAGAGAAGACAAGAGACCATTATGTGGACTGACTGAATTGTGTCCCCCAGAGTTCATATATTAGAAGCTTAATTCCCACTGTAACTGTTAAGGGTGGGAAATCCTATTATGCTAATTGAAAGGTGGGGCCTTAAAGAGGTGATTAGACTGTAGGACCATGCTGTAGTGAATGGGTTAATAATGGTGGTCAGGGGCGTGGTTCTAAGGGCTTTAAAAAGGAGAGGGCATGAAGAATTATCACTCTCTCTACTCTGCCATTTTGCAATGGGATCCCCTGCTGTCACTGAAGTTACTACCAAAGAAAGTCTTCACCAGATGTGTTCCCTTGGCTTTGGACATCCCAGCCTCCAAAACTGTAGGCAATAAATTTTGTTTTCTTACAAATTACCTAGTTCCAAGTATTTAGTTACAAGCAATAGAAACAGACTAGTACATCCATGTTATGTCATACCACGAAAACTGGGCCTTGAATGACATGCAGAGATGTGGAAACCAAAGGAACAGCAGGAGCAGAGGCATGGATGGTGGTGGAAAGTATGGAAGTAACGTTTTTTGAACATTATGCCCTCACAGTCAGGCCCACCCTGAACATTTGCAGGGCCTGGGCTATGGTACAAATGAAGTTCATATTCCATTTGTCTAAATAAACTGTTAAAGTATGTTCTAGTCTCCTACTGTGACAGATACCTTTGTAGCAATCTAGAAGACCTGGTTCAAATGTAGACTTCTTGGACTACTCTGAGTTCTGCACTGTGACATGGTGGCTCGGGAAGAGCCAGCCACTGGCCCCTGGCCTCAGCACCCGTACTTCTTTCTTCCTTACCTGCTCCATCCACCCACCACCCCCACCCAGCAAACAGCCGCCTCTTGGCCACCCCTTTGGCCTAGAGGTATGTACTGGGTTGGCAGCACTGTCAACCCTTGGGAGGATGGACCTGCGGAACAGACCCCTAGAAAGCCCTGGGACTGAGCCATTTAGTCAGAGAATTCTGTGGTACAAGATCATAGTCTGGAGTGGGAAACATGGGAGCATGGTCTCTGGATGGATATATACTTTTGCTGCCATAAACTCCCTTCCCCATAGGGAGGGGCAAAGCTACAGGATGTGGTACAAGATCATAGTCTGGAGTGGGAAACATGGGAGCATGGTCTCTGGATGGATATATGCTTTTGCTGCCATAAACTCCCTTCCCCATAGGGAGGGGCAAAGCTACAGGGTGGCCAGAGCTGGACTGTCTAAAGCCTGGGACCCTCTCAAGTTCCTGGGCTTTAGGGTGATGCTGCTTTTAGTAACCCTGTGAGGCTGCAGTGATCCCCATTTCACATATATATGGTACTCATGGTAAAAGGCACTTGGGAATCTGTCTCAAGAAGTATTAAGTAACCATGCCTATAAACTTTTAACAAGTATGTGGCTTACTTATTCAGGGGCAAAGAAAACCCCATTTGCTCTCCTTATTTTTTTCATTATTTGCAGAGCCAGCTTACTTGGAAATAAGGACTTTTTTCAGATACTGTTCTCAGGGGCTAGATTAATCCACTGTCTTATACTGGCTGAACTAATAAATAGCAGTGACCTATGCAAATGCAATCAAGGGTGTGAGAAAGAAAACAGAAAAAGTGAAACTTTACTTTAGCCTTTGGTGTTTGGGATGGGGTTAAAGAGCCCGGAAATATTTGAGAGTGGGAAGCTGGTCAATTTTCAATATGTTAAGGTGATGCCATTCTGAGAGGATAGTGAGAGAGGGGCTGGTGGCAGTCATTCACTCAGTAGGCATTCATTGGTTAAATATACTATGCACAGGGTGGGGTTTGTATCTGACATGGAAGGTAAGTACAAAGCAGGAAGGAATTCCATTTCCTGAGATGTTAGTTTCCAGGCAGATACTCCAGTTTACAAAGGAGTGATATTAGTTGTTTTGAATTTGGAATACATTCTCAGAGGAATAGTGCTTTATAAACTGTGGTTACATTTCCAGCATAGCCCATAAAATATGATATATAACTCATAACTTATTTAATAAACATTTACCAAACACCTATTACATACAAAATTATGGGCAACATTCTGAGGGTTCTATGCTAGGCACCAAAACTCCATAAATTGCCATTAAAATAACAGAAAATAATATGTTTGTAATATATCAAATAAGACAAAAAATTAAATTACCATTTTTTTGCTTTTAGTCTTGAATGATGAGGCTTAATTGGGTTTAATAGGGGAGCAAGAAAAGGTTTACTACGGAGACCACATTGCCCTTTGGAGAGACTTTAGCATTTGAGGACGTGATTCTTTATTGGTCATATTTTACTTACTGCTATTGTATTAGCACCATTTTTACACGGAGAGGTTATAACTAGGAACTTTGTTCATTTAGATGTGGAAAGAAGGGACAGAGGGAGCAAATATGAGACTGGCAGACTGTTGGGGTGTCTTGTCAGGAGGGAGGGCGGGCTGCAGGGAGAGGAGGATGCGCAGCTGGTGACAGCACTGCCTGCGATAGAATGGAAGACGGGAGACAGGGAGCATGGGTGGCAGGGGAGAGAGAGAGTGCCAGTTTGTTTCCTGTTCAGGATACCCTGGTTGTCGCTGGGGCTGAACAGATGCAAGGTGATGGTGGCGAAGGAGAAGTGCACTGTGTGCATCCAGTTATTTGATAAAATGGCACTTTTCTAAAGGAGGTGCTGTGTGCTCACCAGATTCCTAATGGCTATTTGAGAATGAGTATGGATTATGGGTGCTATCATAAAGAGACAGAACTGCCCCTGGAAAGAGGAATGTATCTCTAGGAGGGGACGGAAATTTTAGACTGGAAAAATGGCAGATGATGCAAGAAGGAAAGGTGCTGTCCTTTGTAAGGATGATACGAGTGAGCTCTTTTTCAAAGGGAAGCCACGGGTCTGTCCAAATATTTAGGTGTAAAGAATATTGTATTAATAAGTAGGCTCAGCTAGGCTTTGAAAATGGTTTTGTTAAATCATTTCAAATAGTCCAAGGTCAGGGAGATTTATGGCACTTGACTTCTGTGATTACATCTCATCCTACTTGAAAGAGGATTACAAGGCAGATTTCATCCTAAAGACTATCTTTGTATTGTAAAAGCTGAGAACAGACACTCAAGTGTTTGAGAAATAGAAAGCACAAAAGTCTTCAACCACTTGAGCAAGTAATGATATAAATAGCAGAAGAATCAAATATTAAAACCTATTTATGTTTGCCAATTGTAACAGGAAAAATTATGTGTGGTGGCTGGAGATGGTCAGTGACAGGTGATCTCAGAGGGAAGAGAGAGGTGGCAGGAGAAGCCTTGGTTAGAACGACAAGTGCAGACCAGTAGTGACTCTGGCAGGGAAAACTGGGCCAGGCCAAGGCGAGTAACAGGTAGGGCAGCTCTGGGGTCTGGTGGGAAAAAGGTACCTAAGTTGCTGTAACTCTTGAAGGCACAGGCTTTGTACACATATAATGTGAAAGCATGAGGGCAAAGTGACATTTAAAATGCTCTGTTAAAATTAAGCTGCAGCACTGAAGTTTTAAAAGTTAAACCCTCTTATTTAGCATATTCGCCTTTCCAAGGTTACCTTTTCTTAGCGTTGCTAGGTCCACACAGTATTATAATCATTGGAGTAATACTCATAATATTGACAGCAGCTAACATTTATTATGAGCATACTATGTACTAATACGGTGCTGGGTGCTTTTATATGTCTTTCATTCTCACGGCAACCCTTTCAGGTCGATTTTATTATTATTCTGTTTTATCTACGAGGAAACTGAGATATTGAAGGATTAAGTATATTAACCAAGTCATAAAGCTGATAAGTTTTAGAGCCAGGAGCTGAGTCTCTTTAAAATTTACCAATATATGATACATATTTTCTTATTGGTTTGGATGGAAAATACTAAAACATGGTTCTCTTTTGCAGCTAGCTGACACATTTTTGGAGCTGCTTATCAGGTTATTGTTCCTTCACCTACCCTAGGCATAGGGTGAGGTAGGAGGAGAGAAGACTATTAGCCCATTAACATAAGATACAAGCCTTTAGAGGCAAGGCGTCCTTGCTGTGGGTTCCATCCCCAGAGAATGATTTAATGGATATGGGGGGCAGCTTGGCAACTGGCGTTCCTTAAAGCACCCCAGGTGATTCTATTGTGCAGCCAAGGCTGAGAACCACCGTTAGAGGCAAGGCGTCCTTGCTGTGGGTTCCATCCCCAGAGAATGATTTAATGGATATGGGGTGCAGCTTGGCAACTGGCGTTCCTTAAAGCACCCCAGGTGATTCTATTGTGCAGCCAAGGCTGAGAACCACCGCTCTAGCAATAAGAAAGGTAGATACTATTTTTAAAAATCCTTCTTTAAAAAAAATAGAACAGTGAAGACAAAGACAATCCTTTAACCACCTCCCCCACTTAAGTGGTGAAAGGCAGGAATACAGGGGAGGACAGTTTTAGGCTACTATTCTAAAGATTAAAAAGAAAAGGTGAGCCATGAGGTACTCATCAAGCTCAGTATCAATTTTATTTCTATTTCTTTGTCCAGAGTTAATGCAAAGCTTGATTATAAAATACATTTGAAAAATTATTGGTTATAGAAGTGCTATAGAAGTCAGAAGAGGGAGAAATCATTTCTGCTGGAACAATAATAATACCCTATAAATTATTTTCTAGTTTTCAAATCTTTCATATGGCCCTCATATCCTTTGGAATTTATAGGAAAGATTTTACTAAAATTATACAGGTAACTTTTATTACTTAAAGCTCAGAGAAAAGAAACAATATACCTAATATCACTAAGAGCAAATGACAGTACAGGAGTAACTAGAACACAGGACCTGGTTCTCTCTCCACTGCACAACATAAACAAGGAGAGTTGTGCACAGCCTTGAAGAATTAGTAAGTTTTTGACAGGCCAAGGTCTGAGAGGAGGGCACTCCAGGAATGGGAAATGGCACGACCCTGACCCTGTTCAGGGACCAGCGAGGGGAGCCAGGCTGCAGGGGAAGGAGTAAGGCCAGGTCCAAAAGGGGCTTTGCCACTCTTTTAAAGCACTGGAATTTACACTCAAGCAAAGGGGGTCTATTCATGGTGGTTGCAAGGGGATGTCAAATGAGGAAAGCAGCGTTTTCTTGAGTAGGAAGAAACTAAACTACAGAGCTAGAGGCTTTGGCTATAAGAACTTGTAATGCCAGGATGGTCTCTAGAATAACCTCTCATATTTCTGGGTTGCTTATATAAGGGTACTTCAAAAAGTTTGTAGGAAAATGTAATTAAAAGATAATATGAATCTTTCCATGAACTTTTTGAAGATCCCTCATATTTAGATTTTGCTTAAAAGAATGAAAGAGATCTAGTAAAATAAATGATTCCTTTAAGAATTCCTCTTAGGGGCCGGGCCGTGGCTCACTCGGTAGAGTGCGGTGCTGATAACACCAAGGCCACGGGTTCGGATCCTACATAGGGATGGCTGGTTCGCTCACTGGCTGAGCATGGTGCTGACAACACCAAGCCAAGGGTTAAGATCCGCTTTCCGGTCATCTTAAAAAAAAAAAAAAAAAAAAA